GATGGCCTCCATCAAAGGATGGTAACTCCTTTGCAACGGAATGAGAAAGAACAAGATGGGCCATTGATGGGCCATATCAAAGGGCGGTAACTCCCTTGTGATTGAATGGAAGGAAGACAGGATGAGCCATCTCTGGTATCTCTTGTACTTGAGATAAGAGAGGAACTAAAACCACTGAGCCATAAAGACAAAGGAGCTGCAAATTAGCCCAGACTTGAAGGACAAGGTGTATGTGACTACAGGACTGAGTCTGCACAGAAGCAAGGGTCAACTAGTGAACACAGTGAAGAAGACTACAAGCCTTCATCTGAAGACCCCTGCCCACGACCACCAGGGAGCACTGCGCAAGTGTGACGGGAGGAATTTGGGATGGGGGGATATGTTAATGATTTCTCAGAACTAATTGTAATATTCCCCCCCTATCCTCGGAGTAGTGATGCATATGTATTAGAGTAGATGAATATGTAATGTTTTATACAATAAAAGGGAGCCCCTTTTGGCTCCAGGTGGCGCATGTCTGTGGTGGAGTCATCCCCCGTGTGCCCAGCGCTGAATAAACATATCTACTTTATAACCTTACTGGTTGTAAAGTCGTGATCCTGTGCCTCATTTCAGCACCCCAGATGGGATGTGCTCTGCTTGGCTGCAGGATCGGCTGAGGGGCGGACATCCTAGGCGCGCCCCAAGTCCTTCTCGGAGGACCTCCGCTCCCCGGACGCTCAGTGCGGGAGCAGACAACGACCATCTATCACTGCGGACAAACGGCATGTTCAGCATTTGGGGCCAGTAAGATGTATGCGTGGCTGGGGCTGCTGGTAAATCGCACAGAGACGTCTGGCATACAGCATAGTCCCCATCTGGGGGGTACCTTGTTGGTATTGGTGGGATTTGCTGACCGATAGCATGGCCACTAGTGATCTTCTGGTAGATCAAGCAAATGTGAGGTTACTGCTGCATCCCAATTTGGGAGCTAGGACAGACCTGCTAATGATTGTATAAGAAGCAGGAGAAGGGTAAGTGGAGCCTCTAAATCGATATCGATATATATATAAAATAACATCTGCAGCTGCTGAAGGGATCCAATGGAGTGATAATTAATGCAAACAGGATAGATATTGTTAATGTCATCTGTTGTAATTCATGATATTTGTTACAAGCTCGTAAAGTTTTTACATTCGGTACCGAACATTAAGTTCTAAAAGTTTTTACATCTGGTACTGTAGAGTGTGTGTTGATTTACATTAACTGGCTTTATACTTGTGGCAAAGGTTTAATGGTTTATGATTTATGTTACACACAAACTTGGCTGTTGTTTTAAATTTGATACATTTTGTGGTGTAAGTGAGAAGTGTGACGGGCCCTTTGTGTGACTGCGTGCCTGCGTGCCTGCAAGACATGAGTGAGACGCAGCACAGCTGCGGAGCGAGTGCAGAGTTCTGATCCGTGGTTCCGTGTTCTCCACGAGGAGAGCGGCCGGATTCGAACAAAGCGAATGACAACTTGGAAAATAGTAATAATTGAACCTATAGTTCATTCCTGGTGCCCCATACACTGGGACATTTTGTGTAACACAATTTTTGGTTTTGAATGTTTTAACTGCAGGTATGATGCTTGAATAAAATTCAGGGACGATTTTTGGTGTAACAAATGTGGGAGAATTTGATCTGACTGGGATAGAATTAAACATTCAGGTCAGCTCAAAAGAGTTTATTGTGGGAATTTGGAAAATATAAAGAATCAATAAGGTGCAGATAATTGCTTTTTTTCCTTTTTTAAAATTACTTAAGGTTTGAGGATTAAAAGTGGGAACGAAAACAGGAAATACCCAAGACAAAGAAGTCTTAAAGAAAACCCCCTTAGGATGTACATTAGCACATGGAAAGACATTGCTGGGTCTAGGGGCACAGAAAATAAAAATACCCTTACCAAATACTGCAATCGGTGGTGGCCACTTTATAAATTGGAAAATGAAGCCAGATGGCCACTAAATGGGACCCTAGACTATAACACCCTTCTACAATTAATGTTGGTTTTAAGAAGAGAAGGAAAATGGCATGAGGTATCACATGCAGACATGTTCTTTACTCTCCGAAATCATCCTGATTGGCAAAGGGACTGCAGTTTAATCCCACCACAAGATCCCCTGGTACTCGCTTCAGAACGAGAAAACAATAGGGGATTAAAAGGGAAACTGAGGTGGTGTTGCTCAGCATGTAGTATTGGCCAGAAGTGTACAAAAATTGGGAAGGCATGCCAAGAATCAGCTTCTGACCTGACAGACCTATATAAGCCCCCCCACAATGGTCACCCTCTCCAGGGCCGCCGCCTTTTCCAAGGCCAAGAGAACAAGAACAAGACTCAGACTTGGACCATACTCCTACCTGCTCTCCCCTGGGCAGCCCGGTGTCTTCCCACACTTGGGGGAAGCGGGCTCAGACAATTCTCCAGGTGCCCCTTAGGGAAGCAGTCAGTCCGGATGGGGGAACCATGCAAATAAAAGTGCCCTTTTCTAGCACGGACTTAGAAAATTGGAAGAGGGCTCTAAGAGTTTCGGTGACTAAGTGTGACCAGGCAATTTAAGTTTATAGTGAACTTGTAAATAATACTGGATGAAGCCTGGAGAGTGCTTAGCAACAGAGAGGAGGAATATAATAAGGGACAGAGGAAAGTGGTGGCAGTGGTAAGTGAAGCGAGGGAAAGGAAATTCAAGAAGGGGTTCCTGGATAGGGATCAGTGTGCATTTTGCAAAGAAAGAGGGCACCGGAAGGCCGACTGCCCGAAGCTGAAGCAGGGTAGTCAGAGGAAGAAAGTAGTGGCACTGATGGGTGAAGATTGATGGGGACCTGGGGATTCCACCCCACTGGATCCACTGGTTATATAAAACTAGGGAAAGAACAAAGGGAAGGGGAATTTTTAGTGGATACAGAAGCAACCTATTCCATTCTTAACCAAGCTTTAATGCCCCTAGGAGAAGAGTATATTATGGTAAAGGGAGCTACTGGCCAAGCTGAGAAAGCCTATTTTTGTAAACTGCTAAAATAGTAATTGGGAAAACAAATGAGTGCTCATAAATTCCTATATTTACCAGAGTCACCCAAAGCCCTTTCGGGAAGAGACCTCCTGGAACAATTGGAGGCCAAAATTGAGTTTAAGAATGGGGAAGTTACTCTGGAGGTAAATGATCAACAATATATACAAATAATGAGCTTACTTCTGACAGAACTTCCAATCGAAGGAAAGATCAGTGAGGATATTACTGACCAAGTATACCCAGCAGTATGGGCAACAGACATACCAGGACAAGCTAAAAATGCTGAACCAGTCATAGTAAAACTGAAAGAGGGACAAAGGCCAGTAAGAATAAAACAATATCCTCAGAAGCAGGAGGATCAGGAAGGTATTCAGCCCATTATTGAAAAATTTTTCTAACAGGGATTGCTGAAAGAATGTGAATCTGCCTTTAACACCCCTATCCTTCCAGTGAAGAAACCAGATGGATCTTACCGGGTTGTACAGGACCTGAGGGCAATTAACAAAATAACTGAGGATGGGCCATCTCTGGTATCTCTTGTACTTGAGATGAGAGAGGAACTAAAACCACTGAGCCATAAAGACAAAGGAGCTGCAAATTAGCCCAGACTTGAAGGACAAGGTGTATGTGACTACAGGACTGAGTCTGCACAGAAGCAAGGGTCAACTAGTGAACACAGTGAAGAAGACTACAAGCCTTCATCTGAAGACCCCTGCCCACGACCACCAGGGAGCACTGTGCAAGTGTGACGGGAGGGGGATGGGGGGATATGTTAATGATTTCTCAGAACTAATTGTAATATTCCCCCCCCTATCCTCGGAGTAGTGATGCATATGTATTAGAGTAGATGAATATGTAATGTTTTATACAATAAAAGGGAGCCCCTTTTGGCTCCAGGTGGCGCATGTCTGTGGTGGAGTCATCCCCTGCGTGCCCAGCGCTGAATAAACATATCTACTTTATAACCTTACTGGTTGTAAAGTCGTGATTCTGTATCTCAGGACCGCTTACCTTCTGGCCACAGGCTAGCTGTGAATCGCTCCTCCTTTATCAGACTTGTTCTGCAAAAACAACACTCTTTCCTTCCAAAAACAACACTCTTTCCTTCCGAAAACAACACTCTTTCCTTCCCTTACACCACAAAGGGCAATCAATCAACAGTTCAGCTATCTAACGAGTTGTGTTTTAAACTAATATTTTTGTCTGACAAGCAGGTTACCTACTACATTGGAAATTTTGAGATTACTGCTGATGCTGACAAATGAGCAAGGCCATAAAACAGTGTTTAGGGAAGATGATCAGAAGTGTGGAAGAAAAGGCAGGAGCAATGGAACTGGGATTTGGGAATGGATCTGGGACCTCCTGCTGGGAGGTAAGTGGCTTAGTTCGGACTAAGCCACGTGGGTTGGCTCCGGTCTGGCCCTAGAGGAACATACCTAGCCCTTTGCCCACACACCTCGTAATTAATTTATTTTTGACATGGGCATGCAATCCCTGTCCCCTCAAGTGAGTGGCATACACAGCTCTGGCTTTCTTATACCAGCACGTTGTAACAGCAGCATATTATTTGTCAAGAAAGCAACACTGATTCTTCTCACACCTATGTACACGATGGTGCTCGGGCAGGGCGCTCTCTCCTCGCTCACGCTGTACAGAGAAGGAGGAAAACCCTCCCTCCTTGCAGTAACCGAAGCCGTGAGAGCTCCCTCGTTTTCAGCCGCTGCAGCGCCCGGGGCGCTCCCCTCGCCGGCGGCCAGGAGGAAGGGAGCGAGGCAGTCCTTGCCCGGGAGGGTGATGGGAGCGCTGGAAACGCCGGTCGGGGCCGATATCCGGAGAGCTCTCCTTCCCCGCGGGCGTTCAGGGGTGGGGGGAACGATCGCCCGCGGCGCTGAGGGGACGGACAGACGGACAGGACAGGCGGGTCTGCCGCGCGGCGGGGGCGGGGCGGCGCCGCGGGGGCCGCTGGGTAAGGGAAGCGGCAGGTTCGTCGCCGTCGCTCGCGCCGCGGCTCTGGCGGGAAGCGGGGGGGTGCGCGCGCGTGCGCGTGCGCACGGGCCGGTCCGGGGGTTCCGCTCTCCCGCCCAACCGTCCGCGGGGCGGGGGGGCGGCCATCGCGGACTGCGGTGAGGGCGGGAGGGCTCCTGCCGCCCCCTCCTCCCGGAGGTGGGGTGGGGATGGCGGCGCCTTCTTCCGACATGGGCTCGTAGGGTCGGCGCGAAGGCCTCTGAGGAGCGCGCTTCGCCGCCGCCGCCTCGCCTCAGGGAGGGAAGGGGCTCCCGCCGCGCTAGGCCGTGGCCGGAGGACGGAGCATGGCCAGCCCCGCCAAGTGGGAGCGTCTGAGGCCGCTGCTGCCGGACACGCTGCGTGTGAGCAAGGTACGCGCCGGGCGGGGGAGGGGAAAGGGCGGGACGGACCTTGGCTGCAGCACTTCGCTCCAGCCGCGGCGGGAGGTTTTAAGGAGATTCCCTAAAGTCCTTCCTCTCGCATGTCCGGCGGGAGATCCCGGGCTTGGAAAGGTGCGGCCGGCCTGGCCAGAGCGGTGCACGAAAGGGGCGTCGTGATGCTTCCCTCCCTCGTCGCTGTTTAGCGGGCTGCCCGGGAAAGGAAAATGCAGTGATGTTAGTGCAAAGGGATGATTTTCTTAGCTGTGTTACCTATAGACTCTTAATCGACTTAAGTAGGTTGTAGCTATGTTTAAGAAAGACTACAACTGTCCTCTGAACATCTGTTACGTTCAGCTGATCTTATGTACAGCTTCCACCGTTACTTTTAGTAATGTTATGAGGTAGCTAACAAAAACCAGGCCTACTTTAAATTCTCTGCAACTGCTTAAAAATGTCTATTAACGTTGACTGGTGGACTAAATGTTACTTGGTAGTATTGCCTTAAAGCCATGAAAAAGTTTGCCTGAGTTTTTACAGTGGTAATTAGAAATATTATTGGAGATGATTTGTAAGAAACAAAGGCTGTTGAGCACAGCTTCTTTATGTAGGTGTTTAGGTGAGCCAACCAGAGGTGATTCTTTCCTGAATCTGCTTCTCATAAATAGGAAGGTCAGGGATGTGGTAATTATTATCAACCTTAGCTGTAATGGCCATGGAACAGTGGAGCTCGAGACCTTGAGTGTAGTGAGGAAGGCCAGTAGCAGGGTACAGAACCTGGGCTCCAGCTTATTCAGCCTTTGGGACTCCACCTTACTCAGGCAACAGGTAGCTGAAATTTTAGAGGAGGCAACTTTGAAAGTTGGAGGAGGCCTGTAAAGGCAGGGATGTTCTATCCTGAGACTCATGACAACAAGTAAATATGTTGAGGAATGGGCACATCTATGCCTGCACTCTGGGTAGGGCAAAAAGAGCTTGTGGAGGAGTTGGAAGCAAGGGCAGGCTATGAAGGAGAAGGATGTCCAGACAGTGTTTTTTTATTTAGGTATGATGCTAGGAAAGCCAAAGTTCTAGAGTTGAAACTAGCAAGGAATGTCAAGGGTGACAAGAAGAACATTTTACTGCTATATTAGCAATAAAGGGGCCCTGGGGATGGGGTTGGTGTGAAACTGTTGCTAAATGGGGCAGGTGATTTAGGAATAATGGACACAGATAAGGCAGAAGTACTTGGCCTTCTTGCATGAGTCTTCAGAACTGATGTCCTCCAGGCTTTGCATCTAAGAGACAGGATTCAAGGAGAAGAACAAACAGCAATGGAAAAGTGTCAAATTAGGAATGTCTTGAGAAATCTCAACCCAAAGTGAGTCCATAGGACCCACTTGGGGTATATCCTGAGAGGGCTGGCTGACATCATTGGGAGGTTGCTGTCATGATCTTTGAGAGGTTGTGGTGGTCAGCTACAGGTTAGTCAGACTCACTTTATTCTCTTGGAAAACCATGAAACAAGTTCTCTTGGGAACTATTTCTGGGCACATGAAGGAGAAGGTGATTGGGAATAGCCAACACGACTATACTTGCAACCTGATTACCTTTGGTGATGAAATGACTGGTTCTGTAGATTCAAAGCCTTGGATGTCATCTACATTAGCTTTAGCAGGACTTTTGAAACAATCTCCTGCAGCATCCTCCTCTTTCAGTTAGGATGTTCCAGATTATAAACCACTAGTTGAGTAAAAATGACCCTGACTGGATCGTCAGGCTCGAGGAGGAGTGGTTAGTGGTTCATACTTTATCCAAAAGTGGATTACAAGTGGCGTTCCTAAGGGTCTGTCCTGGGACCTGTCATGTTGGTAGGAGGAAGACCTAAGATGCAACCTCGTGATGTTTATGGGTGTTCAAGGTGCCATAGACAGCTAGGCATGGGCTGGAGGAATGGGTCATCAGACACCTCATAAATTTCAACCAAGGAAGCTGAAAATTCATGTGTGAAGTCCTGTACCCTGCAGTGGTACTGGCTGGGGGACCACCCTGCTGAAAGGACCAGGGGATTCTGATGGACAGTGTGCTAAATGTGCACCAGCATTGTGCCCTGGCATATGAGGCTGTGATAGCAGGAGCATAGCCAGCAAATTGAGGGAAGTGATTCTTCTTCTTTATTTGGCACGTATTAGGCTGCTCCTGGAATGCTGTGTCCATTTTAGGCCTGCCAGTGCAGGAAGGCTGTTGATAAACTGCTGAGGGAGCTTGTGAAGCCAGAGCAGCCCTTCAGTACTTGCAAGGAAGTTAACAAGAAGCTGGTGCCAGACACTTCGCAGCCATGCATGATGGGAGGCTGAAAGGGAATAACCACAAATTGAAACAAAAGAGACAAGAGGGATTGCAACTTGATATAAAGTGAAACTTTTTTTACTGTGAGGACAGGCAAGCAGTGGAATGGGATGCCTAGAGAGGTGTAGCCTTCGTCCCTTGAAATATTCAAGACCCAGTTGGATAAAACCCTGAGTAAGCTGCTCTGGTGTAATGACTGGTCCTGTTTGGAGTTGGAGGTTGGACCAGAGACCTTCTCAGGTCTCTTACAACTGGAATGGGTCTCAATTTGAAAATACTCCTTTCCTTAAATTGGGGTGAAGGGTGGAATGAAGTACCTGCTTAGTCTCATCCTGTCAGCTTCTTGACCAGAACAGACTCTGTTGCCTGTCTTGCATGGTAATATATAATTGTAATGCTGTATAGTAGCAGTGTATCTTCTGTATGTGAGCTGTTACATGGAACAGCTGAAGCTTGTATCTGTAGAGTTTATACTTGTTGTGACCATTGCCTGAGCATTAGGGAGTTCAGTGGTGTTTCCTGCTTTCAAAACAGGGAGATGTGCTGAGATAAGGGCTGAAAATTCTGACAGGAATTTAATGAGCACGTATCCCTTCTATCCAGTAACATCTGTTGAATTGTCAGCACTCCGACGGCTGTAGCATCTAGAGTTGATTTGGGGATTTCGTCTGAAGAAGCTTCCTGTCTAGATAGCATTTTAAGTCAGTTATTTTTTGTTTTTTTCCCAGCCACCACCACCAGTGATCAACCTGAATGTGGATGATGATGTACAGTTTGTGAGAAGTAAGTTGCTGTGTTCCATGTGTGAAGATTATTCTTGAAGTATTTCATGCTTTTGTACAATGCTGAGTAGATGCTGTAAACAAATGTGAAATTGTTGTGTATCTAATACAGGCAGATCTGGAGGAATGCTGCACACAAAATGAAATAACATATATGAAACAACACATTCTTAATAGTTTTTCCTATTTAAATCTGCTCCAAGTATACCTTTCCACTGCAAAAAAAGAAAATAACATACGGGAAAAGTGAGTTAGAGAAGACTGGAACATCATGCTGGCAAATGTTTGTTTTCAGCTGGCATTAAAAAATATAAATACAAGCTTGAGTGAATTTATGTTGTGTGTTTGTTGTTTTGTTTTGTTTTGTTTTTTTCTAACCAGTCATAGTCTTGCACATCTCACAGTAACACAGTCCAAAACTGAGTTGTTGAACCTGTCATGTCATATTAAAGAGTGCACAATCTTGTAGCCATGGAATTGGTGTGATATACTATGAGTAAAAGTGCATGTCTCATTCATCCTGGGAAAAATACTGAAGATTGGATGAGAGTTTTTTCTAGGAAAGTTTCCATATACATGTACCCATGTGCATGCACACACATTTTCTTGAAGCATTAGACTGGAATATTGCTCAGTGACACAGTTTGATCACATAGGAAATACCTGGTTTGCTTTGCAGGAAAAAAGGCAAGTAGCAGCAGGTTTTCATAGTCTTTCATTGACTCTAGGATTAGTTGAGTGCATGTGTACTGTGTCTTCTTTTGTGCCTTGAAAATACATGTTCTTTTATGCTTTATGCATTCATAAATAACAATCTAAAGTTAAACAACCTGTTCATTGGTAACTTTTATGCTGTTTCTGCAAATATGCTGGTAATGGATATGCATAGCACAGGGATCTCTCTTAAACCCGTGGTGTCCTGGTATCTGTAGATCTTTGTTATATTAGTAAATTAAACAATGTCATGACCAGTTCTTTTGCCCCGAGACCAAATAGTACACACAGAGTTGTTTGATATATTAAGTTCTCATACTCCAGAACAGATTGGTCATGTCCAGGCTGGAACAGTCCCTGAAATCAAGCTAACTCCTGAACCATGGCTGAATGTTATTTGGGAGATCTAGTGGTTAATGTGGGCCAAAAGTGTGTGAAAAAACACTTCAGTGGTGTCATGGAGCAGATGATAGAGCTGCAGTTCTCTGGCAGTGTCCTGACACTATTTATAGTTAACTGAAGGTTTCACTGGTATTCATTCAGTAGTGTGAGCTCATGTCCTATAGAACATAGTTACACAACTATTAATATCCATACTAGCAGTCTGAAGTCCTGAACGTTGAAAGCATGAAGATATGTGCTTGCTATTTAGATGCAATCATTGCAAACAAATGAAGGTATATGTAGTTAATAGACGTTATATGGTGCCATTGCAATGTCAGCATTAAGAACTGCAGTGCTTTCAGACTTTATCTTCATGTTTACTTCATCACTATTGGGTTTTTAAGGAGTACTTCATATTCGTGTAGTAATTTACCCTAAATATTCTATCAAAACTTTACAGGAACTGTAAAGGTCAGAAAGCCTCGATTTGATGCATCTTTGGTCTACTTGACCCGAAAATTCATGGATCTTGTCAAAACAGCTCCAGATGGTGTCCTTGATTTAAATGAGGTAGCAACAACACTTGGAGTACGAAAACGAAGAGTGTATGACATCACCAATGTGTTGGATGGAATCCACTTAATTCAGAAAAGATCTAAGAATCTTATCCAGTGGGTGTGAGTTGGCTTTGAAACTTCTAATTTCTGAAACAATAAAACCCAACAATGTTGAGTAATGTTTATAACTTTGAGAATGTGCTTAAGCATACTGAATTACTTTTAATAGGTGAAAATATTTTAAGTTCTTCTGTATCCTTAGGCTGTCTGAATTGCTTACTGTATTAACAAGTATCAAGTGCAGAAGCACAATGAAGCATATTTCAGCAGAGTCAAGGATGCCAGAGTTCCTGGTTGTTTTCTATTAGTATACTTTGTGTTCAATAAACAGGCTCTTATGTAAATAAACATACTAGACAACTTTCATATTCTTCTAGAGGATCCAATCTTGACCAAGTTGTTGGAAAAGCACCAGAGCATCAAAACATTAAAGATGAGCTTTCTGACTTGTCAGCCATGGAAGAAGCTCTGGATGAATTAATCAAGGATTGTGCTCATCAGTTATTTGAACTAACAGATGACAAAGAAAATGCAAAATATCCTTTTAAATCTGGCATTACTTTAACATGTGGTTTTGGGTGCGAGTACTGAGGTTTCTGGTAATAAGTGTAGGCTGATACCACAGATACGCAGTAATACTTGATAATAAGTTTTATAATAGGAAGCTTTTTGTTTTTTTTATATTCATGTATACTGGTCATGTGCCCTGCTTTGCAGTATCATGCATAATCTAGCCTGTTCTCAGGGCAGTGCTACTTGTCTGACCTTTCTACTGCAGAAGAATGGAAGTGGGGCAATAGTCTTAGCAGCCTGACCATCACCTTGTCCTCTCCATTATAGAGTAAAGTTGTCTCAGGGGCAGGTCTTGGCCTGCCAGTGAGATTGAGATGAGAAAGAGGACCCAAAAGAGAGTCCCAGTGGCGTGTTGCCAGGAAGATATAATGGTACGTTGGTTGTATCCTAATACTGTTGTGTCTCTTGAGAGGGGTTCCAATGCAGTCTTGTCTTTCAGATGGGTTTTGATAATAGAAAAGGGATTTCTTTTAATATGACATAAACGTTGGATTTTGGCTTTTAGTTACAATAAAACACTACTTAGCTCCCTTGTCTGGCAGAATGTTAAGGTCTGTGCTCAAATGAAATGTGCCCGTTTTCTATATGGTATCAAAAAAACTTTTCATTGCACCTTGCCTCTTCTGATTAAGAAAATAATTCTACAGCTTTACAGGAAATTATTTACGTAAATAATTATTGCAAAACAAAGAAGTAGTTTCTCAAGGGCAGTATTCCCTCTGCTTTGTAGACTTTTGACAGCATCTGTGGAAACTGCTTGTCAGATGTGTTTGGTTTTTAAAGTTCAATATCTATTTTTTAAAAGCATCTTCCTTCATAGAAATAAAGAAAAAAGGTTTTTCACTTGTTAGCTAATACTTAATTTTACAAAGCTAGTGTTAAAGCAACCTCAGCTAAACTATTTACCACTTTCCTTAAGTTGGTGTTCTGCATCAACATATCTTAACATCATACTCTTTGCTTCTGCCCATTAGCAAATTATTTTACAGAATCCTTGACCAATGTATACACTAGCTTATGTAACATATCAAGATATCCGTAGCATCCAAGCATTTCAAGAACAGATTGTGATTGCAATCAAAGCTCCAGAGGAAACCAAACTGGAAATACCAGTTCCTAAAGAAGTAAGTTTTATACGTTTCACTCTTAAGGGGAAAAAAGTTCACAGTTTTGACTTTTGCAGCTGCAATCAGTAATTGACTTCCATTTTTTTTTTGTCATGTACAGCAGATATTGGTACTTCATTGTTCTTGTGTTCCACTAAACAATGCTGTAGGGATGATAGTCTAAGAAACTTATTTGCAGTATTTTTCTGTTTACCTAAATTACTAAACAAGGAACATGTCTAAGCTTTAGTTGTTTGGGTTTACTAGAGAGAATGGAACAGCTGTCATAAATGTTACTTATTTCCACTATCAGTTTGTTTGATAATTTACTAGGATAATGGGACTCTCGAAGAACTGTTAATGCCTTGTCTTGGTTTGAGCCCAGAGGGCAACTAAGCACCACACAGCCTTTCACTCCTTCCACCCCAGTGCTGGGAAGGAGAAAATGAAGCAAAAGGCTCCAGAATTGAGATAAGGACAGGAGGTCATGGCCAAAAGACAGGCTTGTTAGGGGAAGAAACAGAACGTCACTTTAATTCAGATACTAACAAAACCAACACTTAACACCCAGGGTGGGATGGGAAAAAGGGACACCACATCCAAAAACCACCTTTCCCCCCACCCTTCTTCCTGGGCTCAGCTTTGATCCTGATTTCTCTGTCTCCTCCCCCAGCGGTGCAGGGGATGGGGGTTACAGTCAGTTTGCTGCTTCTTCCTCCTCGGGAGGTGGGGGGAGCGCTGCACATTCCTCCCTTGCTCCACGTGGCTCCCCGCTCACTGCAGACAGCCCTCCATGAACCTTCTCAGCAGTGAGTCCTCCCCACAGGATGCGGCTGTTCCCAAGCTGCCCCAGCATGGGACATTCCCACGTGTTGCAGTCTTCCCAGCACCAAACTACAACAGCAGGGCCTGCTTCTCCCCTCAGAGTCCCAGCCTCCTTTGGGTGCAGTTGCCTGTCCTGGTGTGGGCTCCTCCAGAGGCCACAGGTCAGCATCTGCTCCACTGGGGACCTCCCTGGGTGGCCAGGGGTGGGGGGGGGGGCGGCCCTGCTGTCTCAGCACAGGACAGAGGGGTCTTTGCTCTAGTGTGCCTCCCTCCCCCCTCCTTCCCCAGATCTTGGTGTTTGCACAGGTGTCCTCATAACTCCTCTTCACAAGTCCCAACCCCCTCCCAGGTTCCCCTTCTCAAATAGGTTATCACAGAGGCGCAGCCACAGTCACTGAGTGGCTTGGCCCTGGGCTAAGGCGGGTGCGACTTGGAGCTGGGGGGAGCTTTGAGAGGCTTCTCATAAGGGACCACCTCTGTAGCCCCCTCCCCTGCGACCAAAAACCCTGCTACACAAACCCAGCCCAGTTTGTATATGAAAATCTACAAAAATTGTAAATCCAACCAGACAGAGCAGTAAGAATAATTTGATAATGATATTAACAGCATGTAAATGCTTCCTTACTGCTTAATGAGTAGACAACTATTGTTATAATATTAAAGTATGAAATGCACAGTATGTTTGACAAAAGAAAACATTTTGGCACTCTAGTAAATCATGTCAGAATGGATTTTTCAGGGAGACGGGAGGCTGTGCCCTGTCCTCACCTCATGATACAACTTGCATCTTCCCACTCAGGTCATACAGAAGAGCCATAGCTTTCCCTCGGCACCCAGTCACACTGTACCTGCATTGGGGCCTATAGGCTGGGAACCCACTGGTTAAAGTAGTGCTGTGAGAGGGGGGAAATAAGGTTAAGATAACAAATGGAACTTTAATTCTGTTTTCCTTCTGCATGCCCAATTTTTATAATGTTCTTAATTGTGTAGCCATCAATTTTGCCTTGCTGTTTGCACAGAAAGGTGGTATCGTAGGAAAAGGTGATAAGAATCAATAGAACCAGAAGACTCAGATCCATTGCATTAGATCTCCAGTGGTTTCACTGGTAAAAAGCTGTGGAGATGAAAAAGATAAGATTTCAGAGCCTTCCTGAAGCAAAAGAAAGCAGCATTTTAAAAGCTGTATTGTAGAGAGAACAGAATATTCTCTCTCTGTTGTCCATTAAATTTGATTTGGTTTGTGCCTTGCAATGTGATGTCCACTGAAGGAAAGTATTAAAAGTAACATGATTTACTTGCTTTGCCATATTACTAAAGCTGCTCTGTGCTCTTGATTTGTTTTCTGATCCATGGCATTGACTTGTCAACCTTTAAATTTTGTTACTCCTCCTAAACGTATCTTGGTCATATATCCAAAGGTCAGTAAAACAACTAAACCAGGATTTGTTAAATTCATGTTCATTAAAAATGAAACCTTGTTATCTTAATGGTGCTTAATAATTGGCTTACAAATCTATGTAATAGTCATAATTTATGTAAAACTAGTAGCACAATTTCAAATAGTTATGTCATTCCTGTATTTGTTCTGTTCTCGATCTGTTTGCTTTAAAATATGTGCAAAACCAGATAACGGATGTGTAAGGTGTGTTCTTTGGTTTATATGCAAGTCACTGTTTTATAGGATTGCATAGAAGTACATGTGAAGAGCACAAAAGGACCCATTGATGTGTATCTATGTGAGGTGGAACAAGAGAAGCCAGGTGCCAAAACTTTTGAAGATATGGATGCTGTCACTTCTGAAACTGAGCCGTCAGTTCCTCCTGATGAAGGTAGTGTCTTCCACTTACATTTTTACCCCCATGTAATATTTCTTTTAATGGCAGTCATACTATTCTGATAAAGTTGAAAACAGTACTGTACAATTTTCAGGGCATGGTATGTGGGCCAAGATGTGTGGGAGTATAGGAAACGCCTGAAAGAGAAGTCTATGCTGTTGTGTTACCTCACAACAGCAGGAGGTCAGAGAGTCGAGCACGTGCACGCACAGCGAGGCACTCTTGTTCCTGACCCTTTCCTTCCTTTGCTCGTTACTGGTTTCCTGCCGGAGCTGCCCTCTGCGGATGGAACAATGTGTGGCAGCTCTCAGCTGCCTTGCTGCAGACTCCAGCAGCTCAGCTGAAAGAGCTGTCGTGAGAGTGAAGGTGCTGCTTCAAACAAGAGGGTGCGCTGCTCTTGCTCATTACTGCCCTGTCTGAGGGAGGGTAGACAGAAGAGGGGATGTAGTATTTCAATCTCCTAAACCAAGATTGGCTGCGTTATAGTCTCTCAGGAGCCCTGATGCTGCAGGATGTTGTGGTTTAAAAATAAACGTGGCGGGAATTGCAGTAGCTCAGAACACAAAAGATGAATTATTTTTAGCAGTGGTGCCTTACAGTTGAGGGGAAGAGTTGACTTTTGAATCTTAGGCATTTTTTTTTTACTTTATTTTACTTGCAAGATAGCTTAAAATTGTATTTCCTACAATGACAGTGATTGTGTTCTTTTTTTTACTTTTCTTTCAAAGTGAGATCTCCAGGGGAAGAAAAAAACCCAACCACCTGAGATGACAGATTAATTACAACTCAGAAATCTAATACAAAATGTAAATATCCGTGTTATAGAGCTTTTCCAAAGCCACTTGGATCTGCAAACTTACTAACCTGAAAAGTTCCAAAGTGTTTTAAATTTAAAGCAGCAGTGGGTTGGTTGAGTGCTTTCACAGGATTGCTTATCTTCCCAAGTCAAAAGACAACATTGCTTTTAGGAGCTTTGTTTTCATAATTGCATGTGATCTGCAGAGCTTTGGGAAAATGGTATTTTTAGCTTATGAAATAATTTTATTTGACAGAAAACATAGGCAATTAATTACTTCTAAAAATGAAGATTTGAAAACTTTCTGGAACGATCCACAATCCTTATGAGAATGTATATAATAAATGCACTTTTCAGTTCTGAGGCTGCACTACTACTAAGCAGGATTGTCAGATAAAGAGTGTAACAAAGAACTGGTGTATCAAAAGACTTTACTACAAGGAACAAAATGTAAATACTAAGAGATATGCCTTACACTGTGTAGATGCTGTTTGCATTGTTTGCATGCAGCTCTGCATCAACTGTGGTATCAACACTGAACTTAAATAATTGGGCTTTTTGTATATATCTGTATCATGTCTAAGTAGTTACTGATGTAGATTTATTGAGATGGTTTGCATTTCTGCCTTTGTACAGCAAAGAAATAAAATAAGCTTGTAAAAATATTAAATAGTCTAATCGGTCAGTCTAATGAAACATGTTTGGTTGTCTTTGTTGGAATTCATTGGGTAACTGCAAACTTTAAAATTGATGTGAAAATTCTAAATCTGTTACCTGTGGTGCCAGCAGTTAGATCAGATTCTTGTGATGCTACAATACTGTAGCAATTTTCAGAAGGAACATTATTGTCAATAACTACTTAAATCAGTTCCTTCCAGTTTCTAGAGTTTAGCATAGCTTTAACCTAGTACCATGATCTCCTTGTGGCTTTAGCTTGCAAAGATATGTAAAATACTTCAGAACTACATTTGTATTCATTCACCCATCTTTAGCATCTGTAAAATGAAGCTTCAGCATTTTGACACTGGGTTTTCCAAGTGAATTAACTGTCACCATACAAATACCATACTTAGGTTCATTTCACTCCAGTACTGAAAAGTATATTTTGTAGTTTATGGGGTGGGGTTGTTTGGTTGGTTGGTTTGTTTTTAATCAGAACTTGGACTCCTAATTTTCCCAATCACACAGTATCAACAACTATCCATCTACTCACAGGTGAAAACAACAAAGCTAATAAACCTCTGAACGTTTTAACAGGCAATTCTACAGCTAGTTTAGACAGATGCTATGAAATGAAATGCCCTATATTGTACTAATAAATACAGGTAAGGTATGGCGGTTGACACTGAAATATACCTAAATACAGATTGAGAGTTAATCCAGTTTGCTAGAAGGTTCACTAGTTCTGCAACCTGCGTAGTAGTATACTATGCAAATTGGGAAATACACCGAGTGCAAGCTTCTGTCAGAAAATAATCTTGACTTCTTGTATTCGTGCTACCAACTTCTAGCTCGAGAATATAGGACTTTGGTGTTGGATACTATTTTTTCTGCATCTCTATAAAATGCAAACTGCCGGCTGAGCTGTTAAATAAAAGCAAAGTGAAAGGCAAGTTTCATGCGTAGATCACAGTAAAAGTGGGGAAGGTACCCCTCCAATGAAGCTGGGGTTGCGGGTTAAAATTAATAAGTCCGCTTCTTTACACAGAAAGGCTGTCCTTTTCCTTCTGCGGCTGGTTTCTTTCCAGATGGCAAACTTGCTATTTGAATTTTTGCATTGCTGTTCTGTTTTGGTGGGGCGAGAGGTCTGTGCCTAAGAGAAATATTGATCCCCCTACACTGGTTCAACAACTCAGGATAATGTTTGCGGTGAAACGTGTGGAAATTTCCAGAACAAACAACTACTCCAGAATGCTAAGCATTAGGGTGGGATTTTGTTACCTGATAATACAGTGTCTTGAATGGTGGAGTAAGGAAGTATACTTCTACAAAGTAACCATCTCATAAATGTTAAGGAAGTCTGTCTTCAAAAGCAGAACATACTTAATTGAAACAATAGGATTTTTCATTTTGAACAGATCTCTGGTGATTCTGTTTTTCCTCCTTTGTGTGGGTTTTCTAGCTGTGGAATTAATTTTTTAACTTCAAGCTACACAACTACCACAGTGAAATGGGAGAAATTGTACTATGACAGTTATACTATAATTTTTTCCTTATATACATTGTTTTAATAGTGCACCTTCAGTGGAACAAATAGACTTTTGAAGATTAAACCACTTTGTTGCTACTACTTGGATACCTACAGGAATATCCACTTGTGATACTGGAAAACAATACACTCTACAAGCTCAGTTTGCTAACTAGATGAAAAGATTAGACTTGGACTTGAGGAAAAGTTCCTGAGTGATGCTGAATTTGTATTTAAATTACAAGCTCACTTAAAAAGTAAATGTGATGGGACCTTACTCTGAGTTTGTATAATAATGCTTGACTTTTGTTCTGAAAGGTTATTAAGATCAAAGTATTTTTGTTGAGTTCATTTCTGTCCATCTTTGGCATATTTGTATGTATAAACACTTCCCTCAGCTATTTGAGGACTCTGCCTGTAATAAATTAAAAAGCTCTAATAACATTTTTGTCTTTCCTTCAATAAGAATGGCTGAGCATCTAAATACATTAATCAGCAATAGCAACAGCCAGGATCCATAATAAAATGGCCTGGTTTTGCTGACTCTGTAACTGGAACAAACACCATAATTTGCAAGTTCAGTCTTTATTTGCTAGGGGAAATTACTCGTCAGAGTTTTCAGATGTGAAATGCAGTTTTTAAATAATGTGATTTGTAAAGAACAGAGAAGATTGCTTTAAATTATGATCTTTGGAAAGCACTTAAAAGACAGCAAATTCCTTCATTTTCAACAATCTGTTGCGTGTGAAGAGCCTCATTTATAAGCATAATTAAATTACGCTGATTTCAGAAGTCACTTTAGCTCTTGTAGTTTTCAGTGGTGAAGTTAGCCTGCTTGCCAGACCATCACCTGGTCCAGAGTAGCTGGGGTTGACTGCAAGCTTTAAACCCTCGCGTGTTCCCCGATCTTCGTGTGTAGGCTGGCTCTGGCACTGTGCTGGGACTTAAGTAACTGCTGAAGTGTTTAGCCGGAGCAGGAATCTGCTAATTTTGGTTCCACTTCTGATTTGCCAGTGGTAATTTGCGAGAAGTGTGTTGAAGCTAAAATCACATCAATTATACTTGCTTGTGTACAGTTTATATAAAGCTACATGAGGCTTCTCGCATAGATGTTTACTGAAGGACTGCAATATTCATTTGTAAAAAAACATGGTGTGTGCTCGGAAGGAAATCTTAATGATGCTTGGAGAGGAAGAGCAGCCTGGCTCTCTCCATGGATCTCCAAGGTGGTTCCTTGCCTTCCTTTCCTCCCACGGCCATCTGACATGGGCTGTCTGCGCGCCTGTAACTGCTCTCCGGACACCTGCGCCCGAACGTGGGCTCACGGTAGCTCCTCACAACGTGATCCATGAATGAGGCAGCATTTGTAATCGCCCCTGGACCAAGGGATGGGGCTGCAGGAGACAATCCTAGGAGTGTAACGGCAAATTCAAAAGATACGAGCTCAGGACATCATTAGCCTTTCACTGACTTTTATTAGGCGTTTCATAGCATCCTGCTTCAAAATGAAAACTTAGCATTAGCATTTCAAATGAAAACTTTAGGAATCTAAAAATCTGCAAGAACCTACTTGAGTTCCTGGAACAGTTTTGCTTTCAGTCGTTTGTAGGTTCTAATGCAAATCCTGCACAGATTTGCTTTTAGATAATGCAATATTCTTTTTCAGACGGACAAGCGATTCTGGTGGTACAGCTGTCATTTTCTAAGGTACTTTTTTTTTTCTCCCCCATCTATAACCATAAAAATGTCACCAGCAGGTTACAGCAGTAGTTGTTGCTTCTCTAACATGCAGCCAAAGCGCATGTCATGAAAAATGAAACAAAAATTGATAGTTCTTGCAAACTAGGAAGGTATCAGATCAGATGTAAAGTTTCAGCAAGCTCAGAAACCTGTTTATGCATATATTATAATTACAAGCCACAAAAATTGTTAAGAGCCTTGCTGGCTCCTAAACCTAGGATAACATCTGTGTGCACAAATTGTGACCTCAACATTAAAAGTGTTCATTTCCAAATGTGAAAATAAAAGTTCTCTGTCAGAAGAAAATTTCAAAGTACAGTAAAAACATTTAGAAATTTATTTGGATAATAAAGATCTAAAGGGAGGTGTAAATTAGAGATGGGCCCAGACCTTTAAGCACAACTTAAGAAGCAAATACCGGCAAACTTGGAGGGTAAAACAAGATCGGTAGGCCCCATGTTTATTATACCAGCCATTAACAGTAAATGCTAAAGCTAGATACAAACTTCTCTAAAGGCTGAGATTTCTGGCTGAGATTTAGTGCGACCAAAATACGTGAGAGACAGCTGGGATTCCAACAGAAGAATTCTGGATTTGGAAATACAAACGGAGGAGGAAATTCCCTCCATAATTTGCAGCAGTAGCTGTTTGTAGGCTGTTACCTACTTTTTTTATTTACAAGCATGCAAAAAGAAGTTCTTGAACATGGGTACATGAAGGAAACATCCTACTAAATACTGCAAGTGCTAAAATTTTAGCATGGCATCTGGAACAAGGGAAGGCATTAGTGCAATTTTGAAAAGGAGGACACACAGTCAGTGTCTCCAGTGCTGTTTTGGTAAGACCCATCTTTCAGCAAACTGATGAGACTGACTTCTGACGTTCTCATCTGCCAGGTTGTACTCTGCCTGTGCTCTGTTTCAGAATTGCCCTTCAAAAAATTTTTGCGTAGCATGAATGAATGACTGAACTCCCGTTTTCCCCTGATGAGACTCATGAATGTTCAGACCATTGCTTATTGACCATTCAGCAGCTCTGAAAGTACTCTAAGTAACACTGGGCACTCAATGATCAAACCCAACTTCCCAGAAGTTAGCTGTGATCTCTCTGTGATCCCTAGAACACCTACAAAAACAGGACAATACCCACATGCTGCCTCCATCCTTCACACTGAAACAAGGTTGCACAAAATTTGAGAACCATGATTTACTTGATAATGCTGCTCCCCACAAATCATCAAAGAATCTTTTTACCAAGCAATCATCACCAATCATCACCAATGCCAGTGATATTTTAGTTTTGTGTAAGAATTTCTCATGGCAAAAATCCCCCTGGTGTTAGAGACAGATTCAACCCTCACTGCCCAGCAATGTGTGCAAGACCTTCAAACTGGTGAGAAGCTATCAGAAGTGATGATTTCTGTCCTTATTCAACTGAAGAAAAAACAAACACCTTTGAAACGATGCAAAATGATCCCATCCTGGGAGACTATTCATGAGGGAAATACAGATATTTGCCTCAAGAACTGCAGAATCAATTCTTCCTGTGATTAGATATTTGAAAACAAAAGGAAAATACTGTGAAAACATTACTGTTGCATTTCTTTTAAGATTAAACAAGTCTTAATTGCAGATTTTTCTTGGAGAACTGAATAAAGGGATAAATACAAATGTCAATCAGTTGCCAAAGTTGACACATAGGTTGGCAGTCTCAATCCACAGATCAGTGGCTTTGATT